ACCAGCGACACAAAGAGAGGGAGGGAGCGAGCCGGTTCTGGGCTGGGCTGGGCAGAAAGGGGGCAGAAGGGAGGGCATTGCCAGGAGCGGACACCGGAGGAGGGCAGGGGGCTGAGCCAGCCGGTGGGAAGGAAGGTAGAAATGGGAGCTTGGTGGGGAGAGAGCAGGCTGGAGGGTCGTCCTTACCTGCCCCCAGGTTAAAGGAAATCCTGGCCTCCGCGAGGTACGGCGTGTCACTCTTGGAGCGGACTCTCCTGATGGGCCGCCGGTCTATATCATCCTCCGAAGATGCCGCCATTAAGGTGGGAGGCAGGAGCAGGGTCGCCCGGCGAGCTGAGAGGGAAAAGGAGAAGGAGAAGAGAGAGGGAGAGAGGCGGAAAGGGGAGGAGGGGAAAGGAAGAGGCTCACACCCGGAGGGGGAGGGGAGAGGGGGGATGGGAGAGGAAGGGAAAGGGGATGGGGAGGAAAGGGGAAAAAGAGGGGGAAAGGAAGAAAGAAGGAGAGAGAAAGAAAGAGCAAAGGAGAGAAAAGGGTGAGGGGAGAGAAAGAAAATCCGTTAAGGATTTGTGGACTGGAGCAGAGATCAGGCAGGCTGCCTCTGGCTGGCGCCCAGGGCTCCCCCTAACTCTTCTCCCAGACTGGACCAACGGGCGAGTGCTGGGGACTGACACCCTGCCTCCTACCCGCAACCAATTCCCAGCTCTTGGCACAGACAGGCTGATGCGAAAGAGAAGACTCCAAAGCAAAGATGCTCAGTCAGCACCATGCCCTCTCCCGCCAAATGCACTTACTCTGCTCTTCAAGCTACACCAGGGTCTCCTTAACCCACAGGAGTCTCCAGCCAGAGGTACCTGCCTCAGCTTTCCTTGCATGGACTTCTTACTACTAGGGTGTAAGCCCAGGCCCCATTGGCCATGGAGGAGAACATTGCACCCAGGGTACCCCTCTGCTTCCTCTTTCCCAACCCAGAGCTCAAACAGAGATGAAGTCAGATCAGGAAATTCTCAGATGCTCCCTTGAGCCCTGGAGGAGGAAAGAAAGAAAAGTATGTACAACTTTAAGAGCAGTTTGGCAGGAAACTTTCTAGAGTTGATGTTTTAAATGTGGAATAGGCATATTCACACAGAACTGAGTGGCTCTTTTTTATAACCATGATTTTCTATGATGTGTTTATCTTTGCATAAATATCTGTTCGTTTAACCTTCAACTTTATCTCTATTTGGTGACTTCAGGCACAGATAATAGTCTTTGTATTGCACCTGTGGTCTCTATAACCCCATACCGTTATTTCTGAAGGTGAGGGCAAGATCAAGGGCACTTTACTTTTCTTTGAATGTGTGCAAGGCTACCTTCACATGTTACCCAGCAGAAGGACCCGGAAAGGTTTCTGGAGTATGAATCATAATGGTTTGATGCTCCTACAGAAGCTATTGATGGGCTTAACTCTTTTATGTCTGACTTTCTGCAGCTTCAGTCACTTGGTCTTTTTGTGGCCTGATGTTTTTTCTAATAAGAGACCCCCTGGGGTGCATGGATAAATGTTAGGTTACCTTGATTATCTCCCTGCTACAGAGGAATCTCAGTGTAAGGTCATGCCCTCCGGTGTCAGAGGAGGAAGTGCTGCTCTGACTCTGTAAGACTTCCTCTCCCCTTCAGCTGTCCATTCTTACGCACATCTTGTACTCTTGCACCCCTCTTCAGTCCCTCTTCTTTGATCTCTTCACACACCGGTAGTAACTCTACATCTTAGGAAAAATATACCTGCACTTGTCCTTACTGTTTCTCAGCCTCTACCATACTCTCCCTCCCATTCTGTTTAACTTTCCTGTGGGACTCTTGGCCCCATAGGCTCCATTATTTTCTTTTTAAAAAAAATTTCTTTATTGATTAAGGTATTACATATGTGTCTTTATCCCTCCATTGTCCTCCCTCCCATTCATGCCCCCCCATTGTCTGTGTCCAAACAAGCTCTCAAGGCTTCATTATTTTCACTCTCATTTCCCTCCTTTCGTCTTTATAACTGGTTTCTATCCCCACCACCCAATCACAGTTATTTTAAAGGTCATTAACACCCTCCTAACAGTTAAATCCAATTTTTTCTTGACCTCTTTAAAGTATGTAGTAATCTATCTGTTTTGAAATAATCTCCTCTGGTCTTTCTGAACTAAACTAACTCCCTAACAACTTCATTTCTAATTATCAGCAAGTTCTCTGTGTGTTGATTTAAAATTACCTATCCTGGCATTCGAGGCCCTTAACAATCTGATTTCAACCTGTTTTTTCAAATTTACCTATTTTTTACCTCCAGTCTACTTGGAGTTGTCCTAACAAGTCTGGCTTCTTTATGCATTTGTACCTTGGCTTGTTTTTACAACACAAATTTCTTTCCTACAAACTTGCCATGTTCTCCCTCAGGAATATAAGATAAATGACTCAGCAGTCTATGGCATGAACCCAGTACACAGTAAAAAGTCAATAGATATCCTATATAATAAAAGGCTAATGTGCAAATTGTCCCCTCGGGTGGTGGTTTGACCTGGAGTTCTACCAGTTCGACAGCTTGCTATGATGAGTGCTGACCACTAGGGGGCAGCGCGGAACATGGCAGGCTTTAGTGATGCAGTGTTGGCAGCGGGCGGCAGTGGAGGCACTGCCAGCCCCAATAGGCCCCAACAAGAGCGGAACCACGACAGGATGATGGAGCAAGTGAGTGGGCAGTGCCAGGCCAAGGCGGGTATGAGCGGAGACCCAGGTGCTTCCCAGGGCCCAGAGGTCAGCTAGAACCTGCCCTTCCATGCCAGACACTCACACTTCGATCGCAGCCAGGCCTAGGGACTGCACCCATGCATGAATTCCGTGCACTAGGCCTCTAGTTTTTGAATAAAAGAAGAGAGGAGAGGGAAAGCGAAAGCAGAGAAGAGAAAAAAGGACTGAATGAAGGTTACTAACTAAAGAGTAGCTGAATTGGGGGCTAAATCCATGTTTGTTTCATTTCAAATCATGTGTCCTTAACCAGTATATTGACCTGCTAAGTATCTATATTTGGCTTATTAGCCACATTTTAAGTTCTCTTTTCTGTGACACTTGCCTCATTATTATGTCCCATTTATCTGTGTAAAACATAGATTAAAAATGGATGCCTCCTCTCCCAGGGGGCACAAGGGGGCATTTGGCTCATCAAATGAACCATGACTAATCAGGCTGCAAACCAATACTATGATTGTAACATTTATGCTCAGGCTGGTAAAGAGGTGCAAAAGCAAGGAAATAAATGCAAACAATTCTGAATGCTGTATAAACTATCCCTCTCTTTGAATTAATGCAGTGCTATTTGGTTGTGTAAAATGTTTGGGATTCCCCACCTCCTTGTCTGTTCACTCATCAGCCATGCCTCTAAAATCAATAAAGAAATTTGAAGGAATCCCTGGGCTAGCTTTCCCTGTGTTTCTTTGATTTTACATATTAATGATTTTTGATACAGGGAAGTACATCTTTGGATTTCTATTACTTATTTGCTCAACATTTTAGAGGACTAGGAAGCTAATATTATCACTACCACTTTAGGTTTACCTTTCTTAGAGAAATTTAAATGCCCTTTTATATTATTTCATTATGAGCTATTTTATTATTGATATAATTATAGATATGCTCTTTACAAAAAATAATACAAAACACTAATCTATCTTCATGTTCTTTTATTATTTTATCTTATTTTCAGTTTTGACTCTAATCTTCTATTTTTTGGTTTTCCTAATTTACTATCACCTTTGTCTCACTTAATATTTCCCATTCTCTTTTCACTTCGCCTTTCTTTTGTCACATCTCTCTTAGTTCTTTCTAACAATTCATTTCCAAAGTCAGTCCCATTTAATTTATCTCCCTCTATATGAAGTATTTACTTTTGTGGGCTTGTCCTAATGTTTCCAAATTATTTGTTTGCTGGGATTCCTATCATATACATAATCTGGTATCATAAAATATTTGACTGAGTGGCATCAGGGAAGAGTCTGAGGTGGAAATCAGGGATGGTGGGTGCTGCCCCTAGTACTACTACCACCATCAATTAACATTGGACAACCTACTCTACCAGGATGGGTCTCAGTCACCTCAGCTAAAAAACTTTAAGGGTCATCCCAAGCCAGTGTTGCTCAGTGTTTGAGCATCAATCCAGAAACCAAGAGGTTACCCATTCCAACCCAGGGCAAATGCCTGGGTTGTAGGCTCAATCCCCAGTAGGGGGCATGCAGTGGATCTATAATGTTACTCTCTCATCAATGTTTCTGTCTCTCTATCCTTTTCCCTTCCTCTCTTTCTCTAAAAAAATCAATAAAAACATATAAAAATGCAAGGATCAGATAAACAATCTTAAGACCCTACCAAGTCTTAATACCCCATGAATATTTGCAGGTATTCTTCTAACTCTATCAGTGTCTATAGCATATATTCTCTCTTAATCTAAGAAAATACAGTTCCTTTGATTTATAACTAATCATATTCAGGCAAACACATGGTATACATACTTCTTTCAAGTAATTTCATATTATTTGTCTATTTTAGGTCACGGTACATCCTTTAGAATCTATTATTTTTCTCATACCATTTCTATTATGAGGCAACACAAATAGAATTATTTGTGTGTTTACATGTGTGGATGTGGGTGTGTGTATAGAAAGAATTGAATTCAATTGTGACCACAACAACTTCAAAATATAGTGGGTGTTTGTTTTGTTTGTTTTCTTCATTTTAAAGATTGCTTCTTTTTTAATATACTTGCTGACTCAGGGGTTCTTTTATTCTTTTCTTTTATAAAGCTGATCAACTTCTTAACACTGAAGACTCTGACATGAAAGTTATAACCACAGCTAGATCCCAAAGAAAGAGAAGCAGCATAATAGAATGCTCAACAAATAACATGTTATACATCTACCACTGGCATAGAAGAGGGTGGAGGTGGGAAGGAGAGAAAGGAGGAAGACTGCACTATTCCATCCTCATCAAGAAAACCCTTTATTTAGATGAGTGAAGGGTATCCTTTAAAATATTATTTAAAGTGTGTTTCAAGGGCACCCATATATTGGTATCCCTTGGAATATGTGTTAAAATGTAGATTTACCAGGCCCTCAACATGGACCTATTGAACTTTGAGGGCATGATACCTTAGTACCTAGATTTTCAAAAGGCTCTTTACTATGCTCATTCTCAACACTGGCTTTCAACATTATACTGGAGGTCTTAGTCAAGTCAATAAGTTAAGTGAAATAAGTTAAAAATATATAAGTATTGGAAAATAAGAGAAAAATTGTGATTAGTCATATATGTTATGACTGTGTACA